ACACACCGTCATGGCAGTGCCCAAGGCTGAAGGTGCAGGCTCCATGTGTGTCTGCGCCAGGCTCTTTGGCACGGACAGGTGGTGGCTACATCCTAGGACCCACCCCATCGGCGCTCAAGGGTCAAGGTGAGGGGAGGATGCCCTGTGGACTGAGGCTGGTGCTCTCAGTGTTCCCTTGACTGTGGTTCTCAGGGACACCCCTCCCAGTCCCAGGCTCTGCTTTTGAGGTCTAGCTTCCGAGGACTGACTGTGATGGCAGTCAATCAAAAAATCAATCAATCCCTCGTGGGTGGCATGGCTTGGGTTGTGGGGCCCAGAAGAGCTGAGTTTGAAGCCCATCCTTTCATTCACTGGCTGTGAGATGTTAGACAGGTTGTCAAAACTCTGAGCTTCAGCTCCCCTGTCTGTAGAGTGCAGGTGAGTGTACCTAGGTCTCTGCTGGCTGTGGTGACCACCTTAGAGACGTTCCCAGAAGCAGATCCAAGACAAGGGTTCAGTGCAAGCAGTTTACTAAGGAAGTGCTTCTGGGGAGACCGCAGAGTGTTAGGGGGCAGGGCTGGAAGGGCAGGGAGCAGAGCAGGGGAGCAGCTCCAGGCAGAGTCCTGCAGCGCCATCTGGCAGCCTGACCTGCTGCGAGTCCCAGCGGGCAAGTGGCAATGTCTCATCAAGGCAGAGGGCTGGGCTCACAGCCTGGGCACAGTGTGTCACTGGTTTAAGGCCACCGCAGGGTGGGCAGGGCTCCACTGGTCCTGCATCTAGGGCAGCGTGCCATGGAGGTGAAAGCACAGTGCACCTGGGCAGGGCACCCTCAAATGCACATATCCCTTGCTATGATTCAGATGTTCACCCTCAAAGCTTATGTATTTAAAGGCTTGGTCAGCCAGGCGCTTTGAGAGGTAGAGCCTAGCAAGAGGTCCTTGGGTCCTTGAGGGTGCATCCAAAATGGGGACCATGGAAGCCCAGGCCATCCTTGTTCTCTTCTTCTCTTTCTGATTGTGAGAAAGCTGTGTGCACTGCCTTGTGCTCTGGCCATCATGTGCTGCCTTGCCCAGAGGCCAAAGTTAAGGAGCCATCCAGTCTTGCACTAGAATCTCTAGAACCTTGAGCCAAAGTAAACCCTTTGTCTATATAAGGTAATTGCCTCAGGTATTTTGTTGTAATAACGTGAAGCTGACCAATGTATCTTTTGAAGGAATCTGAGCAGAGCACTGCAGGGCAGAGCACAGAAGGACTCACTACCGGATCAGATGAGAAAATGTGTGTGAAACGTCTTTGTCACCTATAACCAGGTGCCAGACACTGAGGGGTTTACAAACAGTAGCAACTTATTTCCTACAGTTCAGGAGGCTGGACATCCAAGATCATGGACCAGCACCTTCTAGGTGGTGGCCTGCTGTCTGCTTGTGTCCTCACATAGAAGAAAGAGGGAGAGGGAGCTCTCTGGGGCCCTTTGAGCAGAGCACTAATCTCATTCATGGGGACTCTACCCTCATAAGCTACTGACCTCCTCAAGGCCCTGCCTCTGTTGCCCTCAGTTGGGAGTTAGGATCCCTGTGTAGAACCTAAGGGGGCACACGTATTCACTCCACTGCAAGGAAGAACTTCTGCAGGCTGTAAAATGGCTATGTTTTGCACAAAATGGCTATGTTTGGCACCTGAAAACGACAGTAGCTACACAGGGCTGTCTTGGGGCTGCCCATTCTCCTACCTCCATCCCAGCAGCAGAGAACAAAAGCCAGGAGAGAATTTTTCTGATCCATTTTAACGCTTTAGGGCCAGGCTGGTACCATGGTTGGTCCTAGGTGCTGGGACTCAGTGGTGGGCAGTACCTTGGGCTGGCAGGAACCAGCAGACAAGGAGAAGGCAAGGGACACAGGGTCAAACTAGAGAAGCTGAACCTGTGACCAGACTCTAGGGTCAAGCTGCCAGTGGCATGGTAAGCAAGCAGACTCCAGGAATAGAGCCAGAAAGCAGCAAGTCAAGAGAGCCTGGAGGCCCAGGGTAGGTGGTGGTATTGAACAGGCTGGAGCCTGTAACTCCTCAACTTGAAATGGATCACTTCCCAAGCATGTCAAAGGTCAGTGCCCACTGAGGGAGTATCAGTGGACTTCCTGTCATAAGGAGCAAAACCAAAGTCAAACTGATTCAATTACACAGGGGTTAATTAGCTCACACAGAGACTCCTCTGCAGGGCCTTCAGGTGTGGCCTGATCAAGGGGTCCAGTTAGACACGTTAGGAATTGATCTTTTCTTTCCATCTCTGGATGCTGCTTCCTCTATGGCTTCATTCTTAGATGGTTCTCCTTTCACAGTGGCAAGGTGGTGCCATCACCAAAGGGTCCCATCTTCATGATTCTTGGTGCCGCAGAGTTTCGCACACAAGTACCCCTTCGTGGTGCTCCCACACAGGTCAGAGCATCAAATTGGCCTCCACCAGCTAAGCTGTGTGGCCATCCTTGATCTAGTCCAGGAAGATGGGATGTCTCAGCTGACTGGGCTACAGCCACGTGTCCACTCTGTATGCATCATGTCCATTGAGCCTGGACAGACAAAGTACACAGACAGGAGTACAACCCCCAAAAGAAGAGGGGTGCTTCCCTAAAAGGGTGATGATAGATGCTAGGAAGTCTAATACCAACCCACATCTGTCTCCAAAGCCAGCAGTGAAGCCTAACTCACCGAACCTGCAGAAGCCCCTCAGAAGAGCCCAGAGAGATGAACACCACTGGGGGGGACTGGCCAAGGGTGGCTGGGGAGCCCACGTCACCATGCAGGGACCTTGGCTAGCAACTAGGTGCCTCCTGAGGATCAGTCTCAAGGGAGAAGTGGGTCCTGAAAGCCCAGCCACAACTACAATATACCCCTCCGTCGGGGGTATAACATCCTGTTCCCTCTCTGAACTGTCACCCTAGCCTGGGCCACCGCCTCCACTTCTCCCTTTGACCACCGTCTCCAACATCACACGCCTCCACCCTCTCGCCCCTGCGCGCTGTGCTTCCCCTAGCACCACTCGTGTGTGCCACCCTCCGCTGGTTCGGAGGTGCTCCTCCGGCTTCCTCCCATCAGCATTCTCACCACCACACTTAAGGTTCCCTGTTCCCTTCCCCAGACAAAGCACAGGTGCCCAGCCTGCGGTGCTGGACGGGGTGGGTGTTAATATGCTGTCCAGAGGGCGGCGGCTGCACTGGGAATGGCTGAAAACCCCAAGGGCAGCACCCTCCCCGGAGTGTTGCTGTGGTAGTTAATGACCTTCCTGTTGACGGCAGAACTGGCTCCAGCAATCTGGCCGCGGGCAGTCCAGCATGCCGCAGAGGCCCAGACTAATTAGAGGCCAAATGGAAAAGTCCCGGGAGTGCAGGTTTTGGAATGGGCAGCGGGCAGCCAAGAGGCCAGCCGGTCCTGTCCAGAATCACTGGAGGCTCTGTCCCTCCCCTCCCCAGGGGGCCCAGGCAGCTCTGGCTGCCGATAGAGTCACCAAGGGAGGCTGTGTTTTCCTCCCAGCTTTTCTATTTACTTGCTCGCCAGTGTGGAAGTCAACACTGTGCCACCCTGGACTGAGCCCTGTGGGCCCTTTGCCCTCCAGGGCGCCTGGCTAATGGGATGGCAGGCCTGTCCCCCAGAGAGGGGGCACCCAACTACCTCACAGCATCACCGAAGGTCGGGATGGCTGGGGCACAGGCACACATGGATGTGTTTACAAATCAAATCTGCAAAGCCAAAAATTTCCTATAATTGCTAGCGGGCAGGGTGGGGCTGGAAGGGGAACACGTTCTTCCGGTACGGAGTGCACGTCTGTAGCTTCTAGAGACACTTTCAGCGGAAATGGGCGATGGACGCCTCCTTTTCCTGAGAACTCTTGCCGAAGGCCTTTTCCGTTCTTTCGAAACGCTGCTCCTCCATCTGGAGAGCAGTCTACCGGCTGTGCGCTCCCCTGGGCCACCCCCGGCAAGGCATGTGACCGGGAGGAGCACTGCCCAGGGGGTGCCAGGGTGGGGCCCCCTTAACCAGCATAGCAGTCGCTCCAGTCCCCTCTGCTCCAGACTTCATACTCACTCTGCTCTGACGCCAGCCCTTCCTTAGAGACAGCTGATGGTGGCCCACTGCCCACCCTGACATCCAAGGCCCCTTCTGCCTGGCTTTGTCTCATCACCCACCATGTCCTTCAGGCTCCAGCCTGTCCTCCCCTGCTGCGCACTCATTTCTGCATAATCTGTGAGTTGTGCCTCTCTACGTAGTCCCCAGGGACCTCTTCGGCTTTTCTTGCTGCCTGGGAGCCCCCGTAGTATGGACACTGGGAGCACTGCCGGGAGCACCGCCGGGAGCACCACCGGGAGCACCATCTGTCTTACCCAGCCTCCCTCTTGGCCACCTCCCTGTTGGGGAGCAGAGGGCAGCTGGGAGGACCAGGCCATGGTCTCTCTTTGTGCCCTGCCAGACTCCAAGAGCAAGAGAGGAAGACGTGAGCCTGTGGGAGACCTGAGCCCAGGTTCCCAGGCCTGCTCACCAGTTATGACTTCTGCATGCCTCGATTTCTTCATTCAAGTGGGGATAATACTAAAACCCACATAGTAATAGTTGCTGTGTGTACAAAGAGCCAGAATTGCACCAGATGTCCAGTAAGTGCTGCATAAATGTTTGCTATGATTAGTGGCTGAATGGGTAGAACTACAGTTGCATACTCGATGTTTCTTGTACTGTTGAACTGTTCCAGGTTGGGCACTGAGGAACCATTCATCCTTTCTCCGGAGGGCTCCTATGAGCCTAAGGTGCTGGGGGGAGGAAGCTGGTACAGTGCTTTGCTCTTTGCCCTGAAGGCTCGGTGCTCGGAAAGACTGATGAATGCTCACAGGGGCCTCCGCAGCTTGCACCATGGAATGGCCTTGTGAGCAGAATGGACATCCTGCCTCGGTGGGGCGGGATGGCTAGCACAGGGGTCACCTGGGACAGATGAGGGGATAGTCCCCTAATGTCAGGCAAGCTGGGATCCAGACAGGCAGGGGTGAAAGCTTTCCTTTGTTCTTTTTTTAATTATCATAATAGAAAATGACAACCACAGCAATAACGTTAACAAAGAGTGATTTCACTGCCACATTTTGACATCCCGGAGGTTACAGAGTTTTAGTCTAAAGAGCACACGGAAGGCCCACATTAAGAAGGAGCCTTTTTTTTCACTGTAGGAAAAGCCAGTAGTCACATGGTCAAACCAGGTGCTGCAGTAGCAAAGGCCTACGAGAGTAGTTAAAATACTTTCATATCAAGGAAACGGCATACTTTTACAAGTTGATTATGAAAATGTTAGTAAGACATAGAAACATTTCTGGCTCTCTCAGTATGGAGAGTTGGTATACGCAGTGGGCAAGTTACAAGAATAAGGATTCTGTAAAAGTTGAAATAGTAGAAAGAGTACTTAGTACGCATTCAGCTTGGGTGGGGCAGGTGGGAAAGGGTCAGAAATAAGATGCAGATTTGTCCAACAGCTGTTATCATCTCCCACGCCCCTGTCCCAAGCTCCCCGACAATGGCGCTCCTTGAGATGCTGATGGAGACCTGCCTCTGGAGGTCCCCCAAAGACACCTCACTATGGGGCAAGTTCAGCCTCAGCACTCCATCCATTCTCTTTGTGGAGCAGTCTCCATTCTGGCTGGGGGTCCTCCAGAGAGTAGAATCAGGTGGGTTTCCAAAGTCCAGTCCAACTCATGAGGAATTCCAGATCCTAGCTCTTCACTGGAAATGTGTGAACCCTTGATCACTGCTGTTGCTCAGAAGGGCTCTGATTTACTCAGTGACTCACAGATGAGGAAGAGTGAAACTTTGGGGAAAACCATAATTTTGAAATCAAAGATAGTATGACTTAGTGCAGGGTTTCCCAACTTCAGCATGACTGGCTTTGGGGGCCCCGATCATTCTCCGTGCGGGGGCTGGCCCGAGCATTATACGATGTTAAGCAGCAACCCTGGCCTCCATCCAGCAGATGTCACTAGCGCCCCTCTAAGTTATGGCGGCCAAAATGGTCTCTAGACATTGCCAAATGTCTCCTGGAGGACACAAGTGCCAGCAGCTGAGAACACAGGCTGGTTGGAGTCAGAACCTTTGAGGTTAGAAGCCCGGGGTTCATGATCCTGCTCCTCTGCTCCCTAGCTCAGCCTGGCCTCACTCTCACACTTCCTGGAGACTCAATTTCCTCAAGGTCTGGGGTTGAAGTGCCCTCCTACCAGCTCACAGAGCTCTGTCAGACCACGGAGATCGCCATTTCCGGGGGAATGCTTTGAATGGTAAGTGCCAGTTCTCTGGCTCACTAAGATATTGGCAGAAAAACAGCTGGGGAGATTGGCACAGGGGACCCAGGGGCTACTCGGCCCCATAGAACAGCGCTCCCTGTCCCTGAGTTCACAGTGCAGTCTACCTACCCTGTCCTCTTGTCTCACTGAGTGGCCTTGGGCAAGGCCTGAGGAACACACTGGGATGGGAGAGGTTGGGACAGGTGAATGTGGACTATTCAGCCTCCTGCTCTTCTCCAGGGCTCCTGTGCATAGAAACCTAGGCCTCCCCGTCAGCAAGGCAGCCCACCCCTGGGACTTGCTCTGGAGACAATCGTGGACATCTGCAGGATTCAGCCAAGGGGACCTGGGGACAGCTGGCAGAGAACACAATCCCGTCTCAAAGCTGGCTGGCCATGGACTTTCTGGGTGGCCTCAGCTGCTCTTCTTGAACATTAAAGGTTGCAATCAGGTGCTCTCTATGCCCATTCTGCTGTGAGAGCTGAGACCAAGCACACGTGCACAGCCGCCTACCCCTTTCACACTTACACTCGACGCTGGCGATCTGGCTGCAGGCTCACCGGGACCAAACCCGGGCTCTAGCCTCTGAAGTGCCATCCCAGAGGGCTCATGGCCGAGGCTGCGGGCACAGGAAGCTGCAGGGCAGTGCTCACCAGCCTGCGGCTGGGTCTTGGCTCCTTCCTTGGGCTCTCAGACAGAGGGTCTGGCCTCAGTTTTCTTGACAGGAAAATAGGAGAATTAATGTGCACCCCCTGCACCCTCACACCTGCCGCAGGGGAGATTTGGGCAACACAAGAGATTCGCACAAGAGCACACAACGCAAGGAAGATGTGCAAAACAGCCATGGGCAACAGTAGCCAGTGACAGCTCTGCTCATCACGAGGGAGCCCCGGGCCTGCAGAAGAGGGGACCTTTTGCCTGGAAGGGATCAAGTGGCCACTCTGATGACACGCACACGTGGCCCAATCTCTTGGCTCTGGGGACAGGTCCTGATAAATACTAACATGGTCTAGAGAATATCCAAGCCCACCACTTAGCACAGGGCTGGAAGCCAGCCTGTGGTCACAGTTGCCTGGTGCTAGCCTGTCTTCCTTGCACACTCCCTGGGACTTGGGGGCTTCAACGTGGAGATACAGGCCTCTCTCCAAAGTAGGCGGGGAGGGGTCTCCTTTTCTTTTCAACCTTCTACCAAATGCACACCCTTCTCCTGGAGAAGTAAACCCTCTCCTTCCTCAGCACTGACCCTCAAATCTAAGGAGGTTGGGGATCTACCTCATTCAGGGAAACGGCAGAACAGGGCCCTGGCTGAGGTCTGAAAGAAGAGGACGCATGTCCCCTGCTCCAGACAGCCTGGGGCCCAGAGAAAGGCCTGTGTCGTGTGGGTCCCATGACTCTGACTGGAGGAGGCTTCTTCCACGTGTGCACAGTCTGCGGGGCTCCCCGGTCTCAGCCAGGACCCTCTGCACGCTAAGCAAACCAGCCATTTGGAACCTCGCTGCAGCCCTAGGGAGGCCTACGTGGCCAGTCTCATGCAGCGGTAGAGTCTGGGCAGAGAGGGAAGCAGCAGGAGGTCCGACACGCCCCATTCTGAGGACATCAGGGACCCAGCGGAGCCACAGCTGGCCCAGGTCATCCCATGAAGTGGCCCCTGAGGAAACAGCCTCTGGAGATCAGGCCCTGGCAGAACCACACAGCCACAAAAGGCAGGATGGTTCAGTGGCCTCAGAGCCTGGGTTCCAAGCTCCTGGCTTTCTGCTGGACGGCCTCAGGAAACTGATGTCCTCCGCCGAGCCTGGCGGCTGCCTAGGTACTGGGTCAACATCAGGATGGAGGGTGGGTCTGTGATCTACACCAGTGCCTGAACGGGACACTGGGGCTCGAGGTCAGGTCTCTATTTCTCCCTTGCCCTAGAGCTGAGACGGAGCCCCATGGGTGCAGCTGCAGGGCGTAAAAATCTGTGATGGTAGAAAAAAGCAGACAAGGAAAGCACAGGAGGTGGGGGAGGGGACTGCTGCTTTACAGGGTCACAGGCTCCCTTGGGACAAGGGCCAGAGGGCGCTGTGCTGGAGTAACCTTGAAGAGATCAAACCTCCCCCAGGCCCAGCTCCTTGCGTTCCCCATGCTGACATCTATCTAGGAAAGTTCTAGCTCAAGGGAGTCCCAGTGGGATGTGCAGGGCTCTCCAAAGGCACCCAGGGCGAACAACCTCAAGCCACTGTAGCTCCTGGCCCAGCCCAGGCATGATTCCTTTCTCACTGGCTGCCGAGGTCAGCTGGCTCTGCACTCAGCTTCCACTGTAGCTCATGCACTTGTGCGTGGATGTGTGGCTGGGGCTAATAAGAGCCAGCAGCCGACCGTGGCACTGTCTGGAGGCCAGGCTGGTAATCCTATTAGCTCGCGGCTCCCCAGCCCAGTGTCTGCCTGGCGACAAGGAAGGCGCTTTGCTGTCACTGAGAGCACTCACGTCCCTGGAGACCACAGAGGCACCGAGACCTCTCCTAGAGAAGAAAAGCAGTCGTCCCAAACTGCTGCTGCAGGACGTGCTACTCTGCTCCAGTCTGAGCGCAGAGCTTCCTTGTTTGCAGGGAACCCCCACATGCAACCTTTTAAGAATTTAAGGAACCTGGATGGGCAGAAGCACCTTCAAAGCTGCAGGCGAGCGCACACCTAGTCAGAACCACATCTGAAACACAGGTGCTGAGTGACCTGCCCAGCTTGCGCGTCTGGCTGTTGGTGCCCCTGGACACTCACGTTCCTGCCACACACCTGCCAAGGTGGGGACCTGCCCACCGCAGAGCCCAGCCGGGGTGCAGAGTAAGGAGATGCCTTCTGTTCTCTTTCACTCACCCACCCTGGGACCACAGGCAACTCACATCCCATCCATGCAGTAACTGGGTGTGAAGACTCGTTCTGTGATTCCTCAGAGAAAAAGGGGGTGACTGAAGAGGGGCTGGCAGGTCTCACTGCTGAAGGCATCTTCTCCTCTTCTTGAAAAGATCAGCACATCCATCCGCAGAGAAAAGGCCACTAGCAACCACCCACAAACCTCACTACTGTAACCCTCCCCCTGCGTTTCCTGATGTGTGTGAGTCCGAGGGGGATCCAGATGACAAAGTGTCACTTCTAAGTCTTACTAGGAACCCTCTATGGCCCTCCAAGATCACCATTAATGTTTGAAGGGGCTGGACAAGAAACCAAGATTGGGTCAGGAACCCCAAGGCTCTCAGGGCTGCTCCTGCCCCTGTACCCACACACCACTTTGACAAGTTTGCATAAAACCAAGACATACAAGTGATTTTTACTGCTAGCAAGCGATCACCAAATCATGTCTACATTTTAACCCCACCCGGCTGTTCCTCCTGGTCTCGTGGTCTGGAACCACCATTTCAAGGACTCCCCAGCCAGTTCTCTGGAGGCCTTGTCCTGCCACGTCTCCAGGAGCTGAGTCCAGGCTTCCACACTCAGGAATCCACTTGACTGTGGCCCAGAATATTTGAAATCAGGACTGGCAGGGAAATTCCAGATGCATGGCGGCTGCCCACGGAAAGGCCACTCAAGTGGTCAGAACTCCTGGTTCTAGAACCTGGGTGGGGCCAAAAGCCAACAGCAAGATGGCCACAAAGGAAGCCTCAGCCGGGCACAGAGGGGCCATCCCGGAACAGCCGGGGACTCTGTCCCCTCAGAAGGTGAAGGCGTACACCACCCCAACCACCACGATGTTCCCCAGCGTGGCTATGATGGCAATCCACAGCAAGACGGCGTCATTGGAGGACCGAGGAGGCTCCTCGAGCTGGCCCTGGCCATTGGAGGCCGCGTGGACGTTGCCGGAAGAGTTAAACAGGGAGTACTCTGTGCTGAAGTCCTCGTTGGGCGAGTCCATGAACGCGCCTCCCATCATGGGCAGCTGCAAGGGAGGACAGAGAGAATTACCTAGGGCCACAGCAGGAAGCAGAGCCCCGGGGAGACTGGCCTGGCCAGGTGACCGGCACAACCACCACGGGCCAGCTACACAGGGCTTTGCTTTTGTTTTGTGTAACACGTAGTGGGTATTTTAATCCCCTTCACACCAGAAAGCTTAAGCAACTTCCCAGCTGGTTGGTAACTTGTGGGGACCACAGCCCACCCCCCCACACCAGGCCCTTCCAGGACAATATGGGCTGTAAATGCCTTTATCCTCCTTCTAATTTATAAACTACTATATGATGGGTGTAGAATACTAAGAAAATGTAAAAGACAAAAAAGAGAAACAGGATCACAATCCCCACATAATCACCATTACTATTTCGATTTATTTTCTTTTCAATCTGTTTTCTTTGTTGAGGATGCAGGGAGAAGGAGAGAGAGGGCTCATTTACACATGTGGTTCTATATCCCTGTATATAAAAGCCCACCAGTCCCATCTGAGTCATGCAATACTCTATCATAAACAGCGTTCTATTATAAATCTGAATAGTGCAACTTCTCCCTTAGGGTTGGAGTTAGGAATTTCCACTTTTGCCTGTTATAACTCATATCATGAGACACATCCTTGCACACCCATCAGATGCACATAAGTCTTTGCACACACATTTTTACTGATGAGGGTGGACTCCCACATACACAATCTCTGACTCAACAGGTGTGACAGTCGGGTGTCTGGCGTAGGAACAAGCTCCCTCAAGGACAGGCATTCTAACTCCTACTGCCGAGTTGCACATCCCCGCCCACCACAGCCCACGCTCACCTCCCCAGATCAGAGCTCCCACCGTTTTTTTAAAGGCCTCCTGCTGCCCAGTCTGCAGGATGGAGGTTGTGGGGGGTACTCTAAGGGCACCATGGATATGGTCATAAAAAGGGCCCTCCCCGCTCCAGCCCAGGTTCATCTCGGCATCTGTTTGCTCCACAATACATGCTTCTCTGGAGTAGGATCTGAATGGAGGAACAGGAAAGTTACACCTTCCCTGGACACACATTTACTGACCACTCTATTATCAGGATGCAGCCCCTGCTACGGTCAGGGACCGAGCTGGAGATACTAAAATACTCTGCTTTAATCACCCAGCTATCCCGGTGGAGGGGACTGTTGTACTCCCATTTTACAGATGGATAAGCAGAGGCCAAGTTCACAGTGATGAGCTGTGCTGGAGTCAGGGCTAGAAGCCAAATGTGTCTGCCTGGGCACTTTCATCTCTGCCTGTATCCTCCACGGTGCTGAGTCAGACCTGCACCTGAGTTGCTAGGATACTGAGTGGCCATGCTGAACTGGCTCCGTGCCTGACTCTCACCGAGTCCTGGGGCTTCTTTGTAAAGAACGATCACTACGAGGTCAAAAAGCACCCGCTTCAGCTAAGAGCAACTTCCCCGCTAGAACGAGCTCTGGCATTTTTATTTCTAACACCACTCTGCTCTAGGGTGGAACCTGGGGTGTAGTGACAGGAAGTGGCCACCAGAGGGAGCCTGGGACAGGCCGGGCCCGGCTGATGTGAACCGGGGCTATTGGGGTGCCCTTGATGTAGGAGTACTTCTAGCACGTGTAGGGTAGCATATAGACATGCATATACTTAAATTACCGTGGTTTGAGCACATTGGTAAATATAATGACAGGTGTAAATAAGAGTGTAACAGATTACAGATGCTCCTGGACTGACAATGGGTCTACGTCCCGACTTTCAACATCTAAGTTGAAAACAGCACAGGCAATGCGCTAACCGCACCCTGCCTAACAAAGATCAGGGCCAGCACGCAGCGCAGTGCCCTGGGGAGTCTCCCCCGGCTGGTCTCCCGCTCACAGGACTACATATTACTAGCCCGGAAGGAGCCAAATCCAAATCTGAAGGACGGTGACTACTAACTGTGCATCACTTTTACACCCGGGTAAAGTAAAAAAAAACCCTAAGCTGAAGCATCGTGAGTCGGGGGGAGTGGGATCTGTGTGTGCTAAACACAGGGCTGAAAGTTGAAGTAAGTGAGACGTGGGGCCTCGTTTTGGCCCCAAGCTGGTGACGCAGGTCAGAGGGGGTGCGACGCCTGGGGCGCACGCCAGCCTGCTGGAGGCTCTGAGAGGGAGGCAGGCTGTGGGCACTGCGGCAGGGCAGGCACCTGGGGGCTGCAGCCAACAGTCAAGCCTGGCGTCCTCCATCCCTCAGCCCAAAGGACCTGTCCACTCCAGCCGGGGCTTGTCCCCAACACTGCCCCCTCAGTTGCCTGGAGGTTTCACAAGGGGAGCGGGTTGATTTGTTTTTATGGAATTCCTCACCCCTTGCCCAGGTCTGGCAAGATGGTGCCTAATAAATATGTTTCCGGGTAAATGACCCCCAATTTCTCCTTGGCTGCGGTGGATTCCGCCACTGGCGGGCACCTCCTTCCTCCAGGCCACTTCTTGGGTGTCTCTGTCCGGCCCCCACCACAGACGCTTCCTGGGCGAGGCTGAGGCCGTGCTGGGTGCAGGTGGCCTCTGAGGAAGCGGCACCCTGTCATGAAGCAGCTGTGCTCTTGATGGCCGGAAGGAAGGCACAGGACCACCTGGCGCCCCCCTGCACCGCCTCTGCACGGGCTTCCAGACGGGCACCTCCCTGGACTCCATGGGGGCCGGGGCCACCCTCGTTCCTGTGGAGATCTCTGGGCCCGAGATCCTGCCATCCTGCCTGGGACAGAGGTGAGTGTGAGAGTTTGTCCAGCCATATCCCTGGGGGGACAGGCCCGGGACACAGCCTCCCTCCCAGGGACCCACACTGGGTGCCTGCGTCCTCAGCTCCTGCCCCAGTGCACTCCGCTCCCTCGTGTGTTTACCCAGTGCCTCTGTGTGCAAATCAGTCTGCCAGCCCCACCAGACCTGCTCCAGGAAGGACTCGGACAGCTGCCACCATGGACATCCATGTCCCACTGGCCAGAGGACTCATGTGAAGACAGGGGTATGGCCTGCTCCCCACAAGCTTCCTTGGGCCCTTTCTTAACAGATAAAAAGGTGACAGGGAAAGCCAGGGGTGTGAAGTCAGAAGCCCCCCACCCCCAGGCTGTACTTCGTAAACCTCAGTCCAAGAGGTCCCCGGGGATGGGGCGGTCCCTGCTGTGTGAAACACTCCTCTGCCCCGCAGCTGCAGTGAGCATGGAGTGGTTGGAGGGTACCAGGGTGGGCTGGGTGTGAGAAAGATTTGGGGCGAATCTTGCTTCACGGCATGGGGTGGCCCTGGGGAGCGTCATTTACACACCTGGCCTCATTTCCTTCCCATGAGCGTGGAGATAATACAGGCCTCTCGAGTGTTGCCCGGGTTGGGTAAGCTGGTCCCGCTGTGGTTGGGCGGGGATTGTTCTCCACGGTCCAAGTGCGGGAAGCCTGGGCTTCAGGGTGGCGACGCTGAGGGGAGGTGCAGCCCTTAAGGGGTGGCAGCCAGTGGAAGGTTACTGGGGTGCCGCTCTTGGAAGGAAGTAGCTCTCCTGAGACCCCAGTGAGCTCCAGTGAGAGGACCGAGTAAGGAAGAGTGAGGCAGCCCCTCCTCAGCCCCTGGTCTTCTGTCTAATATGATGCAACCTCTTCCTGTCACGTGCGTCCCACCATGGTGCCCTCTGCCAAGATGGGAGACAGTCGGGGGCCCTGCAGGAGTTGGCATCCTGCTGTTGGACCTTCTACCTCCAACACTGTGATCTAAATAACCTCTTCTCTTTATAAGGTACCCAGCCTCTGCTCTTTCCTTATGGTAACAGAAAACAGAACCCCATATTCATTTAATAATTACTAATATTCTTTTCTTCTGTTGTTCTTGCAGCCATGCAACACCGAGATATTATCGTGGGTCTCTTCTCCTACTGCTTAATCAGAAGTGAGGGAGGCAGGAGCAGCATTTGTAGCGTGTGCTCTCTGTGGGATCAGTTCATCACGTACTCCTCTGCCTGCACTTGTTCACGGAGAGCCCCACGCCTCCTGCTTATGCTGAGCCAGGCTGCCGAGCCCTGCTCCGAATCCATCTGTCTCAGGTTTCTTGGTCCTGTCTTGCTTCTATGGTTTTTTTTTTCCTCGTTTGTAAAACAGATTCTAAATTCAAAGTGCTTCAAACAGCCAAATCTCACCACTGGAAGACAAGAGGTCAGTCTCGATTCCATTCTCTGGAGGTTGGGAAGATTGAAGCAAGAGCTATTGCTGGCCAAAGGAGGGACTTGGCCAAAGACACCCAGGAAGTAGACGGAGAGAGACAATCGCAATCAGAGGCTGCCCAGCCAGCCGGGTCTGTTTTCAAGATACACCTGGGGAAGCCCCGGACATGCGTGTGCAAGTGGCTTTGTTGAAACGAGCAGGTGAGCTTTGTCTCATTGAAGCAGAGGGCAGGGGCAATCTGACAACGGATCCTAGGGTGAGGTTTCGGCAGACTGGCTACTGGGTTCTACCTTTATCATCTCCCAAAAGGCGGGCACTCCAAGACAGACCCCTCCTCCTAGATGGAAGGTGCAAAGGGACTCCTGGGTGCTGGAAGTTTGAGGGGATCCCCAAGGCAGCCCCAGGAGTCGGTGCTGCAGTGGCGGTGAGGATGCAGTGGCCAGGGACCCTCAAACGCAGGAGCAAACCTGCTCCCTGAGGGTCAGGAGGGAGAATCTGCTCCAGGACTCAGCTCCCGGCTGGGAGATGGCCATCTTCTCCCTGGGTCTCCTCATAGCTTCCTTCCTCTGCGTGGGTCTGTGTCCAAATTCCCGCTTCTTAGAGGGACATGGTCATATTTGGCTCAGCGCCCATCCTGCAGACCTCATTTTAATTTAGCTGCCCCTTGAAAGCCCTATCTGCAGTTACACCAGGAGGTGCTGGGGGTTAAGACTTCAACATCTGAGTTTTGGCTTGTTTGTTTCTTTGTTTGTTTGTTTTTTGAGACAGGACCTTGCTATACCGTTCATGCTGGCACTGAACTCATTATGTAGCCTACACTGGCCTCAAACTTACAA